TAGTTAAACTCCAAGCAGTGCAGTAATGAAACATTTAAACACATGTCCAATACTCTAATAGTCTTAAATCAAAGCGTGTAATGTTAATATTTTCAGTTGTACATTTCCCAGAGACGTCTCTCATTCATCAAAGGTAAACCTGAACTCAAAATGAAAGTGAACTAAAAACACTGCATTTTCTTCAGACTCCACCTTTATTTGTTTGCTGTAGTGTAAATATAAAAACTAAAGCCATAAAAGCCACACATTTGACGACACATTTGACTGCTGCATTTCATTTGAGTCTATTAAAAATAAACATTCTGATGCAAAATAATCAACAATCATCAACATGTCACAATTAAAAACACTGCACTGCTGAAAGGCAGAAGTGAAGGGACGTCATTGTGAAAATGGGATGCTGTTTAATATAAGAGTCGTAATATTGTTTAGCAGGAGAAATACTACTATGAAATTCACATTACCGTTTATCGATTACATTCATAATTCATTCGTTTACATCATTAACATATAAAACACTCAGCAAGAATGTCCACTTTAGTGCATTTTTGAGTTGATTAACAATAAAAGCAATATTTAAGATGTTGTAAAAGCATTTCCTGTTTACTGACACGCTGTAGTGGCGATCAACGCTATTACGTTTCCACTAACCAATGAAACTACAAGGGGGCGTGGCTGAATGTGCAGCCCCGCCCCAGATGCTGCCCCCTCCCGATCTGCAGGCTGCAGACAGGGGCTTCTCAACCATTTGGGCTCTGACCTGAGTCAGATTGAAATAGTTTTGTGCTCGGCTCAGATGTCCACTAGATGGCAGTAAAATGCAGCAGTAACGCAAGCTGAGGAAGTGTGTTAAAGCAGAATAAAAGAGAACTCATTGATGGAATGTTGACAAAACAACACTCATTATATTAAAACATCAGTCATGCTGAACTCATATGATGAGGGCAGTCTAAATTATACTGGATATTTAATTGGATAAGACAGTTTCTTCTAAATACTTCATCTGTCTGTAATATTATCCCCTGTTTCATTTCTCTCATATGGGGGGTTTAGTATTTATTTTAATGTGTAATTATTCAATTGAAAAACTCCTAATCAAACTCTCTATACTTCACTAACAAGTGCTCACAACATGGAGACTGATTTATAAACACAACTTCTCCTCACGGTTTTCTTATTTGGAATAATGCCAATATCCTGTATAAAAATAAATCAATATTCTTTCACAATCGATATAACAACAGACTAATATTAGTGAATCAATTATTTGATAATGAAGGAACATTAATTACACTTACAGAATTTATCACAAGATACACAATTCCTCCATTACAGGAGTTTACGATAGTGACTGGGGCAAAACCTGCTGGTCTACACATGCTGTACAAAAGCAGTGTATGTCCATCAGCGCTTCCTGTTTATCCTCCTAAACCTGACCAGACCTCAGTCAGTATCTGTTTCTCTGGAGTTAAGCTTCTGACTTCATAGAGTTTATCCCATTAAAAATGTCTGTGTAAAACTGATATTGAGTCTGAATGCTGTTTTTCTGAAAGCTTTAATGAAGTTATTTTTACATTGATTCTGGTTTTGCCAATATACTCCATATTTCTGGATTAATGTTGAAGCTTTTATTGCTCATTAAATTTAACATCATTTTCCGTATCTTATGAACATGTGATTTTGGGTTTTTATGTTGAGCATCGCTCTTTAAAAGATGCTGGTTTTATTAAAAACTTTATTATATTATTATGTAAACTTCACATACACAAATAAAAGTTTAGGAAAAGCAAAACCTCTCTTCATGATGCTAGAAAAAGAGATTCAAATGAATATAAAAGTGATTTCTAAGTCTGCAAATAGAAAAGCAAGTAAAACAGTCAGCATATGCTCCTCCTTTAACATATGTGCATATAAATGTGTGTATATATGTGTAACAGGGTAAAAATAATGTTTAATTGTCTTTCACCAAAAGGGGTTATTTTGTTTATTTTGTGGTTGTTGAGAGACCTCTTGTGGCAACAGTGTGTAACTGTTTCTTTCACCTTTCACCTGCAAAGCCCCGCCTACAGCAGAAAATGGTTGCTGAATGCAGGAAGGTGGTTGGTAAAATGTGCTCCAGCTAAATGTGACACATTTAGTATTTTAACACATATTAATAACACATACAAGCCCAATATGAACATTAAGTGATGTTTTAGATCAAATCTGTCGAGTGATTGCCGTGTGTGACCTACTTTGTGTGGTTAAATTTGCTCATGCTATGTGTAGCTGGAATGATGACATTAATATGTGCAGGGGGGATTTCTTACTATTTGTTTGGGTATTTTAGATGCATGTTTAAATGAATACTGTTGCCAGAGGATGTATATTTCTGTTACAGAATAAACAACGCAGAATGCAGTTCTCTGTGTCCGCCTGAGTGATTTGTGTCATCAGGAAGAGAAGCGTTACATGTGCATTTCCTGTAGTAAAAGTGCACTTAATAACTCTTGGTGATGACTAAAATTGAAAAAACAAATGTGTGTAATATATTTGTGTAATTTAATAATCATATACCCTCTCCTCTGTTGATTTTGTTGTGTTAGAAAACTACATGCTGGTTCTTGTTAATAAAAAAATAGTGTTGTGGTAACAGCAGTGTGTGTGTGTGTGTGTGTGTGTGTGTGTGTGTGTGTCTGAGAAGGCTCCAGAATACACAGCCAGTCTTGAACAGAGAGCTTGAGTTCAGTCTTTCTGCTCATCAGGTCGGTCATAACTCTACACTCAGTGTCTGAATCTTCCTCAGCACATCGGCTTTCACATCGCTATAACTGATGCATTTTAGAAACACAGCTATACCGGCAGAGAAGCATTTGCTGATCTCCATGATGGTGAGGTCAAATTAAATATCTTTAATAAATATAAACCTCTGTTGATTGTCAAATATTCTTACAGAAATGAAGTCAAACTGTACTCAGTGAAGCTGCTAATGCTGTTATTTGATTGAGTTGTTTAATCCTCTGTTGTAGTTCAGCTGCTTTGGTGTGACGCTGTGTCTGTAGTTTTATTTCTTCCTTCAGTTTCTTCTTCCTTCAGTGATTGTGCTTGTTAACAGCAGGTGTTCATCAGCAGGTGTCTGAATACACTTATTTGTGGTCATTCACTCTGTCCAGTGGACTAAACTAATTAACTAGTGTAAGGGCCGGGTGAATGAGGGTGTAGGGCGAGATCAGACACTCTGATTAGTTTCTTAAGAACAGGGGTTTTCTACAAAGGTAGATACATGTTCCTCTGAATGACAAGGAGGCAAATCAGCTTCTGACGCCGAGAGGGTTATTTTACCTTTATCTAACTCTAGAATTTGAACACTTTACTCTGAATTACCACAACACTTGAACTTTAACACCAATGAATTTGCTGTGTAGTCTTCTCACTACATCTAAAAGTGTCTCCACAGATTGTGGTTCAGTCGTTCACAATCATTAAAATGAGTAAAATATTATTTTAATAATGAAGAATATCTGGATAAGGAAAAGATCATAAGTGTCACTATGAACCCTAAATGAACCCAGTTTACCTCTGCACACAACATCCGTGCCTTTAAATAATATATTCAGCTTCATTTATTGTGTTTCCACTAAACTATTTCATCTCATCAAGAGGGAAAAGATGTATAATCATGAATCTTGTTCTCCTGCAGATCTAAATATCAAGGTTAAATCATATATAACAACATTTATATTAGAAAAATCCTATTTGCAGATTTGTTTTCTGCCCACAGCAATAGTTTAATGAAACATTATGTTTTCCCAGAAGTTGTGTTCAGATAATTACAGAATCTTTTCTTAATAAAGGAAATAAAAGCCATTTAAAACAGTGCATGTCTCATCAGCTGGTTAAAGGATGACTAGAGGAAAATGAGCTGTGTTTCTGTTTTACTCTACTTTAACAAGCAGAAAACTCACAGTGACTTATTATCGTATTGTTCTGAACATTTAGAGAAATGACGACGATAAAGGGTGTCAAACATCTGTAAATGAGTGATCATTATATAATCAAAACCTTTCATTAAAGCTGTCCTGTTCTCATCTTACAGCAATTTAGACAAGCTTTTACAACCATTTCAATCACTGACTACTCTATATACAACCACAGCATCAATAAACACACTGCCTTAACTATGTATTTTAATCTATGTGAATAAAGACAGATTAACTGATATATTGATTAAATAGGAGAGTGATCACCAAACACCTTCACTAATAGACAGATAATACAGTTAAACTCAAATGAGGAGCTGCAAACAATAAACAAGATACAAACTGCAAGAACAAGGGCGACACGGTGGCTCAGTGGTTACCACTGTCTCCTCATAGCTAGAAGGTAACTGGTTCGAGCATTAGCTGGGTCAGTTGGTGTTTCTGTGTGGAGTTTGCATGTTCTCCCAGTGTTGGCGTGGGTTTCCTCTAGGTGCTCCGGTAAGTAGGCGGTTCATTCCGCTGTGGTGACCCTTGATAAAAATCAGGGACTAAGCCGAAAAAGAAAATTAATGAATGAACATTGCAGCGAAATTAAACTGTTTTGGCTTCAGTCCTGACTAATCTAATGTATAAACACACTTATATTATTGAACAGCATCTGAGAGAAAGTAATAATTCATCAGAGAGATCTGTAAGGTGTGTACTCATTTCCATTTCCATCTGTAATTTTATTTTATTGGTCCAACACTGCTTTAAATATTTTTCAGACACCTCTTGGATTTATTTCAAATACCTTTTTCTCTATTCTCATATATGTATTATATGACACTATATATACTATATTATACTTATTTAATCTTCCTTCAACACGCTCGTGCTCAGAGAATCTGCACAGATATCTTCAGCTCCAGTGGTTTGTGTGTCGTCTTCAGGACACGCCCACAGTCAGGAGAGTCTCATGAATATTCATGTCAGTGTTACTCTGTGGAGCCAGTAATATTTGAGGATACACCTGTAGATCACACAGGTGTGTTTTAGTGAAGTGAAAGAGTGAAAGAGCTCAGATTGTGTTCCTGCTGCACAAGAGCGTCTGTACTTCTGCATGTGAGTTTAACACTTCTACATTACGCTGATTTGTGGAGATGATGAAGGGTTTATATGTGTGAGTGTGATTTAAATGTCTGATCCTGAAGATCAAATCCTCAAACACAGATTAAACACTGAGTCAAACACGCTCATTTAAACACTGTGTCTAAAAGCTTTATTTTTAATCCCTTTACAGTGTTTGTGCTCTTCTATATCAGACTGACTCAATAGTGTCCAATAATTCAGCATTAAATATAACTCTAAACATTCAGAGTCACCAAATCAAAAGTAAAGTTAAAGCAGACCTTCAGTTGAACAGGAAGAAAAGCTGCTGAAAACAGGTTTCTTCAAGAGGTGGTTCAGAGTGTTTTTTAATGCTTGGTTGTGTTCATTTATTTTTATTATTAAAATGCTGACTTTCACTACACAAATGACATTTGACCCTTCACTGTCAGCAAACGTTTTTAGTACTAACTCAGTATCTTAGTTAATATATATAATGTCACTCGACAAAGTATATATCATATATTAGATGTGAAAAGTATGAGGTGTCAGAAGCAGACCTTCCAGTTGAACAGGAAGAAAAGCTGCTGAAAAACAAGCTGACATTCCTCAAACAACACAGCATTTAACCCTTTACTGTCAGAGTAACTCATTATAACTTAAATATTAAAACAACAACAACTGCACAATAGTTATGAATTGAGTTATAAATGGAGGTAAAGTTGCTTCATATTCGTACATTTGTTCATTTTGGCTACTTTAAATACTGGCTCTGAAATGGCGCATAAGAATGACTTAAACAAAACATTAGCACTGTTTATTTGACTGTGACTATTGTACTTTGATAGTCGTTGGCTGGTAATGTGATTCATTGAGGTAAAGTTGGTCTTATATTCGCACTGTAACGAGGAGGCTGACACAGAGGGATCCGTTTGCAGTATGTTTATTAAACAGTTTAATAACAAGCACACAGTATAAACTGGTGCGTGAACTCATATGAAACACAGGCTTATAAGGTCGATGGGCAGGCGGCTGGCACTCGTTAGTCACAGTAGCAGGCATGAGTCAGGGGGAGGCAGCGAGAATCAAGATCGGTAATAACGTTCAGAGTTCAAGGCAGGTGACAGGCAAGACAAGGTTGGGGACAATCCGGGTTGGCAACAGGAGATCAGGCAAGGGTGAGTACGCTCAGAAATGTCAGCAGGGCAGAACAAGACTTCGCAATGAAGTGTGAGTGAGAGCTGCTTATAAGTGTGTGTGAGTGCTGGGGTAATGCGTCTCAGGTGCTGTGTAGTCAGTGGGCCGAATGGGTAGTGGATGACAGGTAATGGTAGTTCAATAGTTCGGTGATGGTGACCTCTGCTGGCCAGCCAGGGGAATGACTGGGACCGAGTCGGTGACACAGCCCCCCTCCTGCGAACGGCTCCTGACGTGAGAGGGCAAACGACACCGGGGTCTTCCACGGGGACGAGGGGACGGCATTTCCGGATGTTGAAGGTGAAACTTTCTTAACAGAGAAGGGTCGAGAATATCCTTGTGATTGATCCATGATCGTTCCTCCGGGCCGTACCCCTCCCAGTCGATCAGGTATTGAAGATGTCCACCCCGGCGTCTAGATCTCAGGATCTCGTGGATCTGATACATCTCCTCTCCGTGATGATGATAGGTGGAGGACCCTGTTTACTGGCTGTCACCTCCCTATCCACCTCGGCTGGACCCGCAGCAGGCTTGAGCAGAGATACATTAAATGTGGGAGACACAGGAGATATTTGTCTTTCAATTTGAAATGGGCCAACGTACCTGGGACTGAGTTTTTTGCAGGGGAGTCTGAGGCAAAGATCATGGGTGGATAACCAAACCCATTGTCCTTGAGAATATGCCGTATTGGGGCGCTGATAACAATCAGCCTGGTCCTTAAAACGGCAGACGGCGTGTGACAGGTGGGTGTGGGCAGTGTTCCAAGTATTTTCACAGTGTTGGAACCAATTGTCCATAGCTGGGAATTCTGAGGGCTCCCCAGACCAAGGGAACAGTGGTGGTTGGAAACCTAGTACACATTGAAATGGAGTTAGACCAGTTGATGCTTTTCTTCATAAATTCTGAGCGTACTCAGCCCACATAAGGAATCTGCTCCAATCCTCTTGATTTTGGTGGGAATAAGTGCGTAGAAAGCGGCTAAATCTCTTGGTTGAGACGTTCTGTATTGGGGGTGATAACAAGAGGTTAAATTGATGTTTACTTTGAAATTTTTGAAAAAGGCAGAAGCTACTCTAGATGTGAACTGTGGACCTCTGTCAGACACAATATCTTCGGGCATACCATAGAATCAGAATACATTATTGCATAGAAGTTCTGCTGTCTTCAGTGCCGTGGGTAATTTGGGAATTGGGATAAGTCTGCAGGCCTTGGAAAATCTATCAATGACCTAGAGGATGGTGGTATGGCCTTGAGAGGGAGGAAGATCTGTGATGAAGTCGATTGCTATGTGGGACCAGGGGTGACATGGAATGGTGAGTGGTTGCAAGAGTCCTGCGGGGCAATGACGAGAGTGTTTATGCATGTTGCAAAGGTTGCATTTCTTGATGAAATTCGTAATGTCTCCTTTTAAGGTGGACCACCAATAACGGTTCTGAATGAGATCAAGCGTGCCTGTTATGCCTGGATGTCCTGAGCTGGGGTTAGAGTGGATCTTTTGAATGAGTTTTTCTCGTATTGGCGGGGGAACAAAGGTTTTATCTGCTGGGCAATTAGGTGGTACAGGGTGTTGGTTTAGTCTTGAGAGATTTCTGTTTCTACATCCCAAGTTATGGGGGCCAAGATGAGAGAGTCGTTGAGAATGGATTGGTCCTCCTCCTTTACAACCTCTTCCTCACAAAGTCGAGAGCGCATCTGCTTTGATATTCTTGGAACCTGGAATATATGTGACAGAGAAATCAAAGCGAGTGAAGAATAGAGCCCATCTTGCCTGCCTGGGGTTTAGTCTTTTGGCTGAACGAATGTACTCTAAATTTTTGTGGTCTGTAATCAATGTAAATGGGTGTTTGGCTCCCTCCAGCCAATGTCTCCATTCCTCCATGGCGATCATCTCGGATGCCCACATCGTAATTTTGTTCGGCTGAATTGAACTTCTGAATTACATGAAAAAAAGGCACAAGGTTGGAGTTTGGCTGGGTCTCCTTGTCTCTGTGATAACACAGCTCCTATGCCTGTTTTGGATGCATCAATTTCTACAACAAAGGGTAGATTGGGATTCGGGTGACATAAGATTGATGCCATTGAGAAGCGGGTTTTTAGGTTTAAAAATGCCCGATCTGCTGCATTATTCCAATTTATTATGTTTTACCTCCTTTGATCAGTGAGCGGAGTGGCCACCGTGCTGAAATTCCTGATGAATCGTCTGTAGAAATTGCCAAACCCCAGAAATCGTTGCAATTCTTTCAGGGTTTTGGGCTTGGGCCAGTTGAGAACAGCGTCTAATTCACTCTCATCCATCGCCACTCCCTCTGAACCGATAATGTATCCTAAGAAGGAGATGGAAGTTTGATGAAATTCACATTTTTCTAATTTTGCATAGAGTTGGTTGTCAAGAAGTATCTTCAGTACTGCTCTGACATGAGTGATTTGTTCTTCTAAGGAGTTTGAATAAATCAGGATGCCATCAATGTAAACGATTATCCACTGGTTCAACATGTCTCGAAATACCTCATTTATGAAAGCCTGGAAGGCGGAAGGACAGTTTGCTAAGCCAAAGGGCATTGCGAGGTTTTCATAATGGCCGCTGGTGGTAGAGATCCCCGTTTTTCACTCGTCCCCCATGTTTTATCCTGATGAGATTAAATGCATTACGTAGATCAAGTTTGGTAAAATACCGGGCTGAGCGTAATAGATCCAGGGCTGCTGGGAATAAAGGTAGGGGATAGCGGTATTTGACTTTGATCAAACCTCTGTAATCGATACATGGACATAAGCCTCCGTCCTTCTTACCCACAAAGAAGAAGCCTGCAGATGTGGGGGATGTTGAGGGGCATATAAATCCTTTTCTCAGCTCTTCTTAAATGTAAGAATTCATAGTTTCAGTTTCTGTTTGAAACAGAGGGAAAATTCTCCCACGAGGGGGTGTTGTACCAGGAATTAATTCAATGGAGCAATCGTACTCACGGTGAGGAGGTAGTTTAGTGGTCTTCTGTTTGTTAAATGCTTCGGCTGGGTGACTATAAACCTTGGCAATATCTGGGTTCACTAAAGATTCAACACTTGTAGATATGGCACTCAGCTGAATGTAGACAATAGAATGCAGACAGTTAACAAGACTTAAATCACTCCATCTTATGATCTCACCCTCTCTCCAAGAGATGTGGGAGTTATGGTTTTGCAACCAAGGCCATCCTAGGATTATAGCGTGCTGGGAAGAGTGTATGATATAAAACTCAGAATGTTCTTCATGGAGAAAAACTGTTTTAAGTGAGAGTTTGGGAGAGCGGTAATTTACAATTCCTTCCCCCAGGGGATATCCGTCTACCGCCATGATTGCTAGGGGAGAATCACAAGAGGTTAATGGTATAAAGTTGTTAATGGCAAGTGTATAGTCCATGAAATTGCCTGCAGCTCCTGAATCAAAAATCGCGACTGTCTGAATTGTGGTATTGTCAAAACACAGGGAGGCACAGTTAAGGTTTTATTGGTACATGAAGTAAATGTGGTTGAACTGACCGATAGTGTTTTGAGTGGAGGTTTATTAGGGCATTGGACCTTAACATGACCAGAAAGACCGCAATACAGGCACAAATTATTCTTGAAACATCTTTCATGCTCCTCAACAGACAATTCAGCCGCTGGTTTTTTTCCTTGTTGTATTGCTAACAATTCTTCACCTGCATTTCTGCCACCCTCAGGATGATCAAACACCGCACAGAACCTTTGGAGAAAGTCATTGAAGGTTGGAAAAGTGGGAGTACTGTCTGACCAAATAGCCATAGCTCGGTCGAGAGCTTTTCCAGCAAGTAGGGACTATTCATTCTATACTATACATCCGAAAACATGTGTGGTTGTTGGTTGACAAAAATTTGCATTGCAGCAAAAAACCTTTACACTTAGCTGGGTCGCCATTAAATTTATCAGGAAACGCTAAGCGAGGACTGGAGGGATTTTGTGCCATGGCTACTGGTGGATTGATGGGAGAGTAATTGGCGGTGGGTTGCACTGGGGTGAAGACATTTAATCCCTGGAGGGCTTTGACCAATTCCTCTGTCAGTGAGGTGAGATAGTTACTGTTGATGCGTAGCAAGTACCTGAGCTTGGGTAGTGAGTTCGGTGGACAACACTTCCATGGCTGCTGGATGCAGGTCAGTCTTCTGTAACGAGGAGTCTGACACAGAGGGATCCATTTGCAGTACCTTTATTAAACACAGTTTAATAACAAGCACACAGTATAAACTGGTGCGTGAACTCATATGAAACACAGGCTTATAAGGTCGATGAGCAGGCGGCTGGCACTCGTTAGTCACAGTAGCAGGCATGAGTCAGGGGCAGGCAGCGAGAATCAAGATCGTTAAGTTCAAGGCAGGCGACAGGAAAAACAAGGTCAAGGACAATCCGGGTTGGCAACAGCAGATAAGTCAAGGGTACAGTTGAATGAACTTATCCAGCAAGTTTTTACTCCACTGCGGCACTGCATCGCCCTTTTGGAATGATATTCCTCATAATCTTTTTAACCAAATAGGTTGCTTAATTTTTTTTTTTTAACCTGTGATTAAAATATTTCTAAAATCCTCTTTAAACTTTCACTAAATTTCATCAACAAGCTCTGCTTGCTTGGAAAATCTGATACTGTCACAATGTTTCTCCTCACACCTCCTTCATTGGGAATAATGGTAATATAAGCTCTTCAAATAAATCTTGATTCTTAGTAAATTGGTTTAATAGAGACATTAATCATCTTTTAACACTGTTTGACAGTGCAGGGAATATCCAATCCTATGAACATTTCATGTCTACTTACAATTTCCCAATATTGTTTAGAGAATTGAATTAAATCTATCCCTGTAGAAATGATTCAACTTGTTAAAAATCATATTTGCTATAATCTGCTGTAAACCCAAAACTACATTTAGAAGGTGTTGAGTTGACTGATAATAAATGAACTAACAGACATATTCGTAATATTTTTCAGAAGCAAAATAAAATCACTCCTAGAGGCACATTTTTTTGGAACTCTATTATAGTTAATATTAATTACAAAAAAAGCCTGGTTAACTCCCTTCAAATATTCTATTAATAATAAAATGAAGGAAATCCATTTTAAAATATTACATCAAATTTACGCAGTAAAATCTCTTTTATCAAAGCGCATTGAAATGGAGGATATCTGTGGATGAAGAGAGCCTTTGCCTTTTGTTTTTTGAATGCAACATTGTAAAGAATTTCTGGAAAAATCAGCCAAATATATTTGTGAAAGGACAAAACTTAGTTATTATTTTACATTAAAAGATGTAATTTTTTATTATGACAACAAATGCAACAAATGTCTTGAATATATTGTTAATCTCTTTATTTTATTGGCAAAGTTTTACATACACAAACAGAAATCTGCTAAATCTTCTCCCACATTAACCGCCGTTTTTTTTTTTTTTTCTACAGTGAAATTGTTGAAAAACATAAAATCTGAGATATGCATCAAATATTATGACACTTTTTATAAATTCCCTGTCAATTACTAAAATCATCAGATGTAGAAATGTTGCACACTTTTCTTTTGTGTAATTTAATTTATTTTCATTTATTTATCTGTTTTGTCTATCTGTTTTATCTATTTGTTTTGTTTTTTGTTGACTTTTACCTGTATTCTTTTTGTGTGTTTCATTATTTGTGTTGTGTTGTGTGTTTGTTCCTGACAGTTATGCAATTAAAAACAAACAAAAAAGGCCACAGTGCAGTTAAACAACGCCTACTATCTGCAGCTCTAGATCACCCCCTAGCGGACACTCCAAGTCATTTTCTCAGGCAGTTATTCAATACAAAGAGCAACACATCGTTGTGTAAATCATATCAATTTTAACTCTTCTTTGTATTTATTTATTTTTAATAATTCCAATTTAATTAACAGTATATTTTAAGGATCATATTGATCTTTAAACCACTACAGAGACACGATGCTTTCATCTGCAGTTACACACGAGAGGATTATCAGTGCAGCGACACAACAGGACAACTCCTGATCCTCTCAATGCCTGAGCTGTTCTCATCAGAGCAGTCACACATGGGGAATATAACACAAGCTGCGCTAGACTTCATGAAGAAAGATTAGATTATATATGGGAAAGCAGTCATTTTATTTTCTACAAATCTACATTGAGCTCTATGACACTGATTTGACCAAACTGTACACATATTATTATTATACACTCTCCAGTATTCAGCTTTACGCTGCTCTCTGTAACTCGCCACACAAGAAGAAGAAGAAGAGGAGGAGGAGGTGGAGGAGATTATGTGCTTGTTCTGTCTTCTCTGTGTCCAGTTATTTGCTGTGTGCGTTACACTAGCTCCTGCTTTCCAGCTATGCTCTTCTATTAAAAAGAGGTGCAACAGTCCAGTTTTCAAAAAACAAACTTTAATCTGGTTGATGGATGTAGAACTTCCAGGCATTTATAATTGGTGTGATGATAGGTGTGTTTGTGTGTATGTGTGGTTTCCTATAAATGAAGAAAATACAAATTACCACACATTGATAATTACTGAAACTAATCATGTACATTTCAAACATATATGTGACATTTAAATGATATAAATTGTGTAACACAACAGAAATCAACATGATGACACTGTTATAATAAGCATACATTGCTTACATTGGCATCGTTAATGTGTTGTATAGTCACAATAATCACCAACTAACTCACAAATCAAGTACTGTTCGTTGCAGTTATAAAGAGCATGCAAACAACATACCGGAGTTAACTTGAACAGTTGTATTGGTAAGCTTAAGTGAGCTCACAGTGAATGCCTTTGAGGCAGAAAACTGCTTAGTCATCCTCATAGTAATATAATGTAAGGGGAGTCTTTTCAAGCTAAATATTGATAATAAGTCTAACATTAAGCTTTAAAGATTACTTACTTGTCAATAACGCACACAATAAGCACAAAATATAGCAAACACCAAGAACAATCTTCACTCCGTCTCGAACATGCGTGATTTACAGCAGTGTGACTAACTGAACGCTAACTAGATGAAGTGGTTATAGACCACACCCCGTGAGTTATTTCCAGTCCTATACTGCCATCTGTTGGTGCAGTTGTGTAACTCTGAGTACTTTGTACACCAGTGTTTATACTGCTTCAGGTAAAATCACCCTAGTAACATTTGATAACCCTGTTGCTGTTTGACTCTTCTCTGCTCTGTTTAGAGTGTTTGTGACGGATGTTTTTCACTGAACTCATGATCTGCCGCTCCTTCAGAAACGAAAGTGAAAGTGTTTAGTTGTTGTGTTGCAGTTTTAAACAACCAGAATCCACCATTTACCAGCGCAGAACAGATTTAAATCTTCAATGTCTTGACAAAACCTGTAAGCTTTATGTGAATGTGTGTATGCTGTTATTATAATCAAACGGATGACGCTGTGATTCTTCATTAGTTTACTCGTGATGAGCTTCTGGATTTGAGTGTCTCAGCTGCTGATCTATTCCTGCATTCAGCTGAATTATGAAGGCTGATCAATGACTGGAGATCTGTGATTGTTCATCAGTTTCTGCTGGAGATCAAACTCTTCAGGTCCATCATGGGTAACACACACACTGCTGGAGATCAGGATTTGTCTACAGGATGCAGGTATTAGTCCTACACTTGACATTTCATATCATTATTACTTTTAATTTAACCAAAATAATTTTCGATTTGTTCGTGGGTAGTTTTATTTTTATTTGATAACGTGACACAAATAAATAAAAATGAAATAAAGTGCTGTGTTAAGTGATTTTTAAATAATGACTGAATATCTGCTGTGTTGACTCCAGTGTGTGCAGCGCTGAACTTTAATCTTCTCTGTTTTAGTTCAGTTCATCAGAAGAGAGCAGAAGCAGAGCCCAGCTGTGTGTCTATGAAGAGTGGCGCGTCTATGGATCCACCAGTAAAATTTAAGAGTGGAAACACACGACCTGCTGTCAGGTAGATCATCTCTACACACACATGATCACACTGCAGCATTTATATGATCCTGTGTTTCTAGAAGATTTAGATCTGTTGGGTTTCAGATGTTAGATGTTGTATCTGAGCTCTGCAGGATAGTGCTTGAAGATCTCCGCTTTACACTTCAGGCCACAATTGATGGTGTTAACAAACCAATCAGCGCTTTATTAATAGTTAGTGAGGTAGAAGGTGGGTTTAGGTTTTGGGTAAGGTTAGGGATCCACAATAAGATCATACTGTATGACTACTAATGAGCAGTTCATATGTTCACATTCCACAGATAATAAGCCGGTAGTTAATAGTATGAATTGTGAGCTAAACTAAAGTGTTCCCGATCTCCTGCCATAAAGATCTTTTCCTGCACACTTTCCCCTGCTGTTTCTGTGCTGTACTGATCAGCCATTCCTCTGATCTGAGTCTGTTTTCACTGAAGCGCAGTCATCATCATGTTGTGTTGGCCTCATAGATGCTGCTGATCAACACATTTGGTTTCTAGAATTGATATTTCTCGAGTTCTCCTGCTCATTCAGTCATGATAGATGATGGTAAATGAACTTGTCTTGCTGTCCTCAAAGTCTGGACTGGAGCTCTGCAGACAAACCCCCGATGAGTGACCTTCTGAAGACTGAGTGATGAGGAGGAGGATAAGAGGAGCTGCTGGAGGCGGGAATAACAGTCAGCTGACACAGTGCAGTTTATACTGCTGCTTATATAGTCATGTGATGATGATTGACACGCCTGCATGATTAAGCTCCTCCCACACCTACACTGTCAGCTTCATTCAGTGATTTGATGATGAGTTTCAGCTCTAATCTGCTCTAATAGTGCTGCATTTCTGTTGGGCTTTCTCTACTAGAAATGACCCTTGATCAGTGTTTGCTGATATTTTCCCCATTCAGACAGTTTCTGTTCAAATATAAAGGAAATTAATTTGTGTTTTTGTAAAATGAAGAATGATTAATGTCAGGTGTGTGCAGTGTGTGCAGCGCTGAACTTTTATCTTCTCTGTTTTAGTTCAGTTCATCAGAAGAGAGCAGAAGCAGAGCCCAGCTGTGTGTCTATGAAGAGTGACGCGTCTATGGGTGTACCAATAACATTTCAGAGTGAAAACACACGACCTGCTGTCAGGTAGATCATCTCTAAACACACATGATCACACTGCAGCATTTATATGATCCTGTGTTTCTAGAAGATCAGACATTAACAAGTGTTACATTTACAGGATACTTTAAAACTGAATGTCCACACACTCACATCTGATCATTAGTGTAGGACTGAAGTAGAAATAAGGGACTAAAGTCTCAATACTCAAACTGTTAGAGTTAGTAGAGTGAGTTTACAGGCTTATACAATAGTCAGCAAAGTGTGGGAAAAGAAAGAGTTTTAGACACTGTTGATAAACAAGTTGTGTGAGACAAACACACCACATTTCACCTGATAATTATGGTCAAAAGAGACTCTGATTTAAGATAAAAATGTATTCAGATTCTCTGGTTATTATTATTTTAATAAAGTGCAGCAAAATGACAACACTGTTACTGAACTCTGAGAGCAAACACTTGAATGATCTGGAGATTATCATGTGAATCAAAAACTATATTCATTCAGAAAATGAGCTGACAGAGGACAGAAGCAGAGCAAACACAGTCATGGTGAAGCAGTGAAAGATTCAGACAGCAGAGATGGAGATGCAGAACATTAAACAACTATATGATCACAACAACCTTCAGAACTACAGACAGCACAATGCAACACCCAATTTAATACTATTTTCCTTTATTTAAATATTATTTTTATTATTATTTTGTTATTTGTATGCCGGTTCTAATGTAATTACTATTGAATGGGCATTATCAGTGGTTATCAGCTGATAGTTATGGTTCAGTAGGGACCTTCTGCACCTACTTGTTGGCTCAGTGGGCAGTTATCATCCATCCACATATACTAATAGATAATAGAGTAGACTCAGATCTGTTTTTACATTACTGTGATGATTGGGTTTAGCGTAGGGGGAGGGGTAGACATTAATAAAACACAATTTATGTGGATTTTTTAAATAATGTAAATAATTATTGTTACTTAAAGCCGTATGTGATCTATAGCTGATTAACCATGTGGATGGATGATAACAGCCTACTAGTAGAAGCAGAAGGCCCCTACTTGCCCATATCTATCAGCTGATAACCACTGATAATGCCCATTCAGTCGAGTTAAAAACATTCGAACCGGCATACAAATAACAAATAAATAATAATAATAAAAAATATTTAAATGAAGGAAAATAGTATTATAACTAACTTTACAGTGATCAGTGTGTGCTGTTTAGTTAAATCTGATTAAATCTGTGTATTGTGTCTCAGCTGGTTCAGAGAAAACACACATGACTTCACTAGAGGATCTTTACACTCGCACTCATTGACTCTTTGTGTTGTTGTTGTTCCTGCAGTGTGGATGGAGATGATCAGACTGGAGACCTGCAGCAGGATTCACTCCAACCAGAACATGATGAACTTCAGAGAGTCAAAGAGCAGCACAAAACCAGCATGAAGAACAAGTATGAGAGATTATTTGAGGGAATCAACCATGGAGAGACTCAAACCCTCCTGAACAGCATCTACACACAGCTCTACATCATAGAAGGAGAGAGTGAAGGAGTGAATGAAGAACATGAGGTTTTACAGATGGAGAAAAGAGCCAGAACAGAACCCTCACAACACACTCCAGTCTACTGCAATGACATCTTTAAAGCCTCAGCTGGAGCAGGACATGAGGAGAAGATCAAGAAGGAGAAAGCCCAGATCAAGACTGTTCTCACTAAAGGCATCGCTGGAATCGGGAAAACCGTCTCTGTGCAGAAGTTCATTCTGGACTGGGCCGAGGGAAAAGACCATCAGGATGTAGATTTCATGTTTGTGCTTCCATTTCGAGAGCTGAACTTGATCAGAGATCATCAGTACAGTCTTCACAGACTTCTGCTGGACTTTCATCCTGAACTTGAAGATCTGGAGCCCAAGATTTATGAGCAGTGTAGAGTTGTGTTCATCTTTGATGGTCTGGATGAAAGCAGAATCACACTCAACTTTTCAGATGAGGAGAAAGTTTGTGCTGTGACTGAATCTTCATCAGTGGCTGTGTTGATGCGGAGCCTCCTGAAAGGAGATCTGCTTCCCTCTGCTCTCATCTGGATCACCTCCAGACCAGCAGCAGCCCATCAGATCCCCTCCAGATACATCAAGCGTCTGACAGAGATTCAGGGATTCACTGAGCCTCAGAAGGAGGAATATTTCAGAAAGAGAATCAGCGACGAGCATCAAGCCGGCAGAATCATCTCCCACATCAGAAGAGCAAGAAGCCTCCAGATCATGTGCCACATACCCGTCTTCTGCTGGATCTCCTCCACTGTGCTTCAGAAGCTCCTGGAAGAAGATGTGAGTGCAGAAATCCCTCAAACTCTGACTGAGATGTACATCCACTTCCTGCTGATTCAGATCAACATGAGGAAGCAGAAGTATGAAGAGAGAGATCCAGAGAAACTCCTGCAGTCCAACAGAGGAGTGATCCTCAAACTTGCTGAAGTGGCTTTCAGACAGCTGATGAAGGGCAATGTGATGTTCTATGAGGAGGACCTGATTGAGAGCGGCATAGACGTCACTGACGCCTCGGTGTATTCTGGGATCTGCACTGAGATCTTCAAGGAGGAATCTGTGATTCATCAGAGGAAAGTCTACAGCTTCATCCATCTCAGCTTTCAGGAGTTTCTGGCTGCTTTCTTTGTGTTTTACTGCCATTTAACAAAGAACAGAGAACCGCTGAGGGGGATTTATGATGAAGAAAATTCACATAATCAATATCTACAGTCCAGCTCTGAGAAGTCTCTGTATGATCTGCTCAGTTCAGCAGTAGATAAAGCTGTCAGGAGTAGTAATGGTCATCTGGATCTGTTCCTGCGGTTCCTGCTGGGCGTCTCACTGGAGTCCAATCAGAGACTCTTCCAGGATCTGCTGACACACATAGAGGAGAGCTCAGAGAACATCAGGAGAGTCACACAGTACATTAAAGACGAGATCAAGAGAGATAACCCTCTCTCAGCTGAAAGATCCATCAATCTGTTCCTCTGTCTGCTGGAGGTGAAAGATCAGACTCTGGCCAGAGAGATTCAGGAGTTTGTGAAATCAGACAAACACTCAGAGGAGAAACTCTCTCCTGCTCACTGCTCAACAATCTCCTACATGATTGAGATGTCAGAGGAGCCGCTGGATGAGTTAGACTCTAATAAATTCAACACATCAGATGAGGGAAGACGGAGACTGACAGCAGCTGTGAGAAACTGCAGAAGAGCTCTGTGAGTATTCATTGATTGATCACAGAAGACACACATCAGTCTGCACTGAAGACTCAGATCAGTTTAGTGAATCACTGCCCTGCTTTAACAGAAAATCTTTAGCTGGCCATATCGTCCCCCTGTGAGATCGCTGATACACCATATTACTGCATGGGGACGCGGCGGCAGTGTTCTGTTTCCTTATTTGCTCATTTATTTCAGCATTTCTAAACGTATTTAACAAACTTTTCTTGACTTTTTACTCACACAAACAACATTTGTACTTATTTAATAATCTACTTCATTTGCTTTACAGCTTATCCTGGAAAATAACTCAAATCCCTGTAAATCCCTGTGCTCCTCCAGCTGAATAGGACATTTGTTGATGTGTATTTGCTCAACTCTAACACAGTGTTGCTCTTGGATAATTGTGTTTGTTTTCTGATCAGAGAAATAGTGTAATTTTAGACACAGTATTGCCGTCTCGCCGCAGACATGCCTCTAATATTACACTTACTGTAGGCCAAAACACTAAACTTTACACTGAGCTCAGTAAAATGCTCTTTGATTAGTTATTAATAATCTGTTCAATAATTCAGTACAGTCATATGAATGGGGAAATACAGCTTTAGTTTAATGTAGATTAAATAAATAAATAAATAGTATATTTTAAATGAAATAAATATTCTTGTTCTGAAAATGTCCATGTGTCTGGAGTAGGGATGCACCGATATGGATTTTTTGGCCGATACCGATAACCGATAAATCTTCAGACTTGGGGGCCGATAGCCGATAATTATAAATATTTTAAATTGTTATATATATATATTATTATTTTTTTTTTTCCCAGAGATGGGTTGCAGCTGGAAGGGCATCCACTGTGTAAAAACTTGCTGGATAAGTTGGCGGTTCATTCCGCTGTGACCCCGGATCCAGAAAGGGACTAAGCCGACAAGAAAATGAATGAATGAATGTTAGATTTTTATACAGCAAAGTTCATAAAAGATTGAACTGCTCTTATGAACTGAACAGTCTATACTCAAAGCAAAAAAAGCTATAACTTCAAAATTGCAAGGTGATTATAGACCTGTATTCACGATTTCACACAAATCAGCATGCAAAAATGATTTCCTTTTCTTCATAGCAAATTAACATGCAAGTTGATTGTTGCAAAAAAATAATAGTTTAAATAACAAAATGGTATTTAATTAACAAGCAAGTTAAATATATTTAAATAAGATGAAAATGAAAGAGCTAAATACTGAATCCAGCTCAAATGGTCATGAATAAATGATCTAGTGCCGCATTTTCTAAACGTATCTCTGTATTTAGCTGTTCGCTTGTACGGTGGCTCTGAACTGTCAAAACACCTCTGATAAAGGCTTTTTCGGACATGACATATTTGTAGATGTGTACATCACTGTAACATGTCACATGTAGGCGCTGCTTGTCAATCAGACAACGCTTCTGCGCTCGTTCTTGCCGTCAATCGTGGGAAAATGATGGATGAAAAGTTTATGATAAAGCGCTGAGAGTTTTACTCAACTGTAGAGGCAGAGTTGCCATCAGAGTCAGATTTTGATACACAAACCTGCATTGAGCTGACTTTATGACAAACACAGAGCAGAATATAAAGACAGAATGAGCGGCTAGTTAAGAGCCCCTTTGACTGGATTCACCTCTCGCCTCTCCCCCGTGCTACGGTGCTACAGTGTGTGTGTGTGTGCGTGTGTGCGTGTGTGTGTGCGTGTGTGTGTGCGTGTGTGTGTGTGTGTGTGTGTGTGTGTGCGCGCGCGGTGACAGCTCTCACGCGAGCTCGTTATAATCAATATGAATATTCCGATCAAACTGAATACTATCTTACATCAACAACACATGACCAGCAACACGTTAATAATAACAAATAATCAGATTACAAACAACCGTTATGTTTACACCTGTTGTAAAATGTGCTGGTCCTTCAACGGGACTGGGCTGCAGTTTGGGGTGTGAGTGAAGCGGAGGGAGAGGAAGAGAGAAAAGAGGAGCGGTTTTTTCGCTATGAGACCATTTTCTGGGATGTTCCCTCTTTGGTGGCTTATTTGTTGTACCACACAGAAAGTAATAAATATTTTGGACCAAGTTACATGTGTCCTCTTTAATTCACCAGCTGCAACGAAAAGAGTTCACCCCGAAACTAACATTACTCGGCCCTGGAGTAATAAGTGAATCTCCCCTGATATCTCTAACACAACAAAGAGACAGAGCAGGAAAGGTTTACACATGTAATATTATTCCTAAGGTGATTTAAAGCAAAATCCACAATGACCCTCAATCAAGCATATCTACAATGATGAGGAACGTGGTTACTTACTGAGTTATTAACGCACAGCAATGCCACGTGAAGAAAGGACGGACTTTGAAGGAATAAACAGTGTGAGGAGAGGTCTGTACAATTACGTAATTTATCGGCTTAAATATATCGGCCTAATTAAGACATCGGACCGATAACGATAATCTTAAAAATAGCGTTTATCGGCCGATAACGATATAGACGCTGATATATCATGCATCCTGGAGTGTGTCAGCAATTCCTGCAGTTCATTACAGCTTTGAGTGTGACTCCTAATCCAGTCCTCCATGGGTTAATACATTTGATTTCCAGTGATCATGTCTGTGTGATTTTGTTGTCAGCATATTCAACTGTGTAAAGAACAAAGTATTTAATAAGAATATTTCAGTCATTCAGATCTAGGATGTGTTATTTTAGTGTTTCCTTTATTGTTTGAGCAGTATATATATATAGTTTATTTCCAGTGTTGCTTTTATCACTGTAGACTGAACTCATGGACACTCAACACTGCTCATTTCTCACTGCTGATTGTGTTGCTCTTTGTCCTCTACACAGGCTACAGCGCTGTAATCTCACTGTTCAGTGCTGTGAGAGTTTGTCTTCAGCTCTACAATCCTCAAACTGTGTGCTGAGAGAGCTGGACCTGAGTATCAATGACCTGCAGGATTCAGGAGTGAAGCTTCTCTCTGATGGACTGAAGAGTCAACACTGTAAACTGGACACACTGAGGTAAAATAAAAACATTTCCATCAAATAAATGCCGCCACAAATGACTTTTCCGTTGTGAAATGCAGTAAAGTCTGATGAGGTAATGAGCATATGCTGTGATGTATTTTATTCCTGTTTATTTATTGTGAATATTTCATATTTAATGTGAAGTCAAATATGAGAAACCCTGTTTATATCAGATATAATATTGCTCTTTAGTGTCATTTCTGCTGAAATGATCATTGATTGGTGTTCTTTGGTGTTTTTGGGGCGTCTCTAAATGAGCTGTGTTTCTGCAGATGTTCAGCCCATCACTGAGTCTCTTTATTTACTGATGTTCATGTGTGTAAAGTTATATTTGTCATGAGAGTAAACTCTTCATTCGTTTCACAGATTACTTTTTATTAAACAGACACGCATGTACAACGCACTTCCTATCAACTCTCTCATTCACTTTCCGGGTTAACCCCTTTGACCCCCACGGGGTGGGGTTACACCAAACAGGTACAATATGATTGGTTAACATAATAAACTGGTTTCCCACATCTTCCCTCTTTAGAAAAGAAGATCATGTTTCCCACTTTTAACACAAACCCTAAACATTGGTTTATGTTTAACAGCATACCCAAATTAAAGTGCAACAACAAGCAATGATATTGTTTTTTTTTTTTTTTCATTAACTCAAATCTTAATTCCTTTCTATAACCTGAAACAGTCCAAGAAGTCTAAGTAACGTTTGGGCGTTTTCACCACCCTTCCACTGGAAGTCGTAACTGGTGGTTTAGTGTCCAGTAAAGGTGTTGCTGGGTCAACTGTGTGAGTATTTGAATGTTCAGTCCCAGACAGAGCTGGTTCTTTTTCTTCCTGCAATTCTGCTTGGATTGTAGCATCTGGTTGCGATGGCATTGCTTGCAAATGCTTCCTGTTTCTACGCAGGACAGCTCCTTTTTGAGTTTGCACCAAGTACGATCTTGGTTCTGATGTTTTTTTTAGCACAATCGCTGGTGTTTTCCAGTGCTTTTCGCTGTCCAGCTTAAGAAGAACCTTCTCTCCAGGATGTAACTCGGGCAGTGTGCGAGCAGAGTGTCTCCGGTCATAATAGAACTTGTAAGACTCCTTTGCAGCTTTATCTTTCTTCTCCACTGCTTTAAGATCATTGGGTTGAGGTTGATATTTTTCCTCAACCATTGGCAGTTTGGTTCTAATCTGCCGTCCAGTCATTAATTGTGCAGGGCTAAGTCCAGTTGCAACGACCAGAGTCGCACGGTAACACATCAATGCCAGGTGAGGATCAGGTTGGCAGAGAATCCGTTTTGCAGTTTGAACTGCTCTCTCTGCAGCCCCGTTGGCTTGGGGAAAATGAGGACTTGAAGTTGTATGATGGAAATCATAGTCTGTACAAAACTGTCTAAATTCAGCTGAGGCAAACTGTGGGCCATTGTCGGATACAAGCTCCCTGGGAATACCCCATCTCACAAACATGCACTTCAGTCTGCTGATAACATTAAAGCTGGATAGTGTTTGCAGGTGAGCTATTTCAATGTCACGTGAGTGGTAGTCTACAACTACTAAGTAAGTTTTCCCATTCAACTCGCATAAATCTGCAGCAATCTTACACCAGGGACCAGTAGGCAGGGGTGTAGTGATCAGGGGTTCTTTTCTTTGTGTAGGTTTATGAGTCCTACAAAATATGCACCCTGAAACAATCCTGTTGATGTCATTGCCAAGTCCTGGCCACCAAACTGACATCTTTGCCCTCTGGCGACACTTTGCGAGCCCCTGATGTCCTTCATGAATTCGGCTTAACACTTCCTCCCTCATCAACACAGGAACAACAATTCTGTCCTCATACAAGACTAACCCATTGACAAAAGACAATGAAGCCCTGGCTGTATGATAATGACTCAAGGGGAAGGGTATGTGCTTTGGCCAACCCATGCTGAGAAAACCTATCACTGCCTGGAGATCTGCATTTAACTGTGTAG